AGGCACCGGGACGATCTCTGCTATGCAGTTTACGATGCCGATAATCCGACAGGCAAAATTCCAATAGACCAAAAGAGTAAAATAGAAGACCTGGTCAACAATAAGATAGTGGACCATGCAATCGCTTCAAAGGGCAAACAACCAATAGAGAGCGAGAGCTGCGAGTTCAGCATGGGCGTGATGTTGATGAGGTTGGCATCTCACCAATGTGTTATCACCCTAAAGAACTTGGTGGAAAGTATCCCTCCTCCTAGGCTGGGAGCTTCCGGTGCTCTTAAAGTCCACTGTCTACATAAAAGGATGGGGCAGTAAACTGGCTAATGAACGTATACTGGAAATTCTTGGAGGTCAAAATGCTGAGCTGGCCGTGGAAAAATGGGATGTCTTTTACAGGAAAGAAGAACCTGAGGGAACTTTATTTGTAATAGGTATCGACCAGAAATCCATGGCTAGTCTTGCCAAGAATAAAGGTAGGGCTTACTTCGCCTCTAAAGCTGTCATATTCAAAATTGGGAAGGTGCCGATTGGAAGGGCTGTTACAACAAGCCTCGAAAAGGACACTAAAAAACCTAAGACCACAGCATTAGTATCCACTACCGATAACTTTGAGGAGTCAAATTCTAAAATCGAGGAATTTACCATTAACTCGACAGAAGAAAGTGTAGTTGCCCTTTCCAAAATTGGGAAGGCGCCAATTGAAAGGGCTGTCAAAACCAGCCCCGACAAGGACACTAAAACACCTAAGACCCAAAAGCATCATTAGCAAGTACTGGCAATGTTGAGGAGTCAAATCCTAAAAGCGAGCTCCTCCTCACTCACCCGGCAGAAGACAGAACAGCAGTGCTCTCCAGAATTGGAAATGTGTCTATTAAAAATACTGCTATTCCTATGCCTGATAAGGACACCGCAGAGCCATCAACAGTACCCACTACATTAATAGCCACTTCAGGCTACCCGGAGGAGTCAAATCCAAAGAGCGAGGAGGTGACCACCAACTCGCTGGAAGACAGTTTAATGGATGACCATGATTGAGGTTATCCAAATAAACCTCCATCGGAGCGAGACAGCTACCAACTCTCTGATGGCTAAAATTAACACAGGTAAAATACATATAGATTTAATCCAGGAACCTTGGACGATTCGCAACAAGGTTTCTGGATTAAATCACGTAAATTTCCAACTTTTCTACGCTGATACAGGGTCTCGCCCGAGAACATGTATCTTATGTCACAAGAACTTATGTTTTCTCCTCTCAACAGGATTAAATCACGTAAATTTCCAACTGGATTAAATCACGTAAATTTCCAACTTTTCTACGCTGATACAGGGTCTCGCCCGAGAACATGTATCTTATGTCACAAGAACTTATGTTTTCTCCTCTCAACAGGATTATCAACATCGGATGCAACGGTGCTGAAGCAAGGTCGTGCCAACATATTCCTTGCATCTGTTTACCGCCTTTCGATTCTCCGATACTACCACCAACTTCGGATCTGATGAAACTGGTTGAAGAGGCACAAAGGAAAAATAAGAAAATTGTAATAGATTGTGATGCCAACTCGCACCATGTAGCTTGGGGTAGTACAAACACCAATCGTAGGGGACAAGCCCTCATGGATTTTCTTAATACTAAAGACTTGATAACATTGAACTTAGGTAATAAAACTACCTTCGTCAATAGAATCAGAGAAGAAGTATTAGATATAACTATATGTTCAGAAGAGCTTATAAACGAAATTCAGGATTGGAGAGTTTCGGACGAGCACTCCTTTTCTGATCATCGGTACATAAGATTCAAAATACTAAGGCCACTACCAAAGCCGATACAGTTTCGGAATAAGTCTGAAACTAATTGGACAATGTTCGGGACCTTACTAAAGAACCGTTTAAGTCAGGACACTTTTCAATGTCGAAATAAAGAGGATATAGATGCCAAAGTGGAAACGTTCACAAGTGCCCTGGTTGAATCGTTCGAGGAGAGCTGCCCTCTGCGAGAGCGGAGATCTGCCCAGGAAAAACCCTGGGTAACTGGGGAGATCCAGAACCTTGGGAAGACTCTTCGCAAACTATTTAACCGGGCACGGCTTAAAAAGACCGCAGTATACTGGGATGAGTATCGTAATAAACTTGGTGAATATAAGAAAATCGTTCGAAATGCCAAACGAGACTCCTGGAAACTTTTCTGTGAACAGGTAGAAAATAAAAAAATTCCTATCCATATGGAGAAGACAATGAAACTCCTAATGGATTCTCATTTCCCACCCGGTATATCGAATAACATAGATGAACCGATAGGGTAACACGGAAATAGTTATTACATCTGACATGGCATTTTTCCGGCACTTTTGCAGATGGAGGCGGGACTTGTTTCCGTACATCTGTCACAGATATTCACTGCATGCTTAAAATTGGCATATACCCCAGTTAAATGGCAAGATGCAAGGGTAATATTTCTACCCAAACCAGGGAAACCAAGCTATGCGACACCTAAGTCCTATTGACCGATAAGTCTTACGTCCTTCCTACTTAAAACCTTGGAACGGATAGTCGATAGCATGGTTAAAAGCAGTATACCATACAAAGAGCTTAAATATAAGCAGCATGCTTATGTAAAGGGACGATCGGTGGAAACCGCTGAATCTTTCGATAGCAAACTGTATACACTGGCGGTAAGCATTGACATCGAAGGCGCTTTAAATAACGTGCACACTGATACCCTTATCCAATCCCTAGACCAGTTTTATGTTGACCGGGTGCTCCGTAACTGGATCAACCACATGCTAAGGAACAGATGGATAAGCTGCGAGATGTACGATATAATTATCAGGAAAAAGGTATTTCGCAGTATACCACAGGGTGGCATACTGCCTCCTAAGGACTCTAACCGAGAAAGGACTTAGACCTGTCTGCTATGCAGATGATGTCGTAATACTTTTTAAGGGAAAGGATCCAAATTACTTGTGTAGAAGAGCTGAGGAGGCTCTGAATACGGCCTTGAGCTGGGCTCAACCGAGAGGCCTCAATGTTAAGACAAAAATTTCTTTATATACTGAACCTTGCTTCCTGGGCAAGAAGATACCGGTGACAGACAAAGTTAAGTACTTAGGTCTAATCCTCGACCGGAAATTAAAATGGAGACACCACATAGTGGATAGGATCAACAAGGCACATCGGTGCTGTGCGATATGTAGGAGAACCATAGGCATAAAATGGGGTCTTAGTCCTACTATGACAAATTGGCTTTATAAAAGTGTAATTAGACCAATTCTAGCTTATGCTTCAATAATCTGATGGACCGCTTTGGACAAAAAGTGTAATTTCAAACTACTACAGGGAGTTCAGCGTACATGCTGCTTGGGTATAAGTGGTGCCATGTGTACTACTTCAACCAAGACTCTGGAAACGTTGCTAGATATTCCACCCATTGAAACATATATAAGATATGAGGCGGCGCTTACAGCCGAACGGCTCTTTACTTTAGGCGAACTGGCCAAAAACGGTTATAGGACACGTCATCAATGTATACTAGACACATTGGAAGGTTATACACATTCATCGGACGTGCCTGATCGCATACCAGACAAAGAATATGTCGGAAACTTTGAAACTCTAATCCCAGATAGAATGTCTTGGTCAAGCGGAACATTGGAGCAAATACCAGTAGGAATCCGTTGCTACACGGATGGCTCTAAATTAGGGGACAAAGTGGGCATGGGGTTCTATATTGAAGACCCAGAAACAGAAATATACCACCGTTTACGTAATCATAACACAAGCTTCCAGGCAGAAGTACGAGCAATAACGGAATGTGTAAATTGGATTAGAATAAATATGGCTCCCACAGGGCTTAATATATTTACCGACAGTCAGAAGGCAATTAGGTATTGGATTGTAAGAAAGCTTTAACTGAATACTCTCCCAGAGGTAAGGTTCACATCATATGGGTACCAGGCCACTCGGGAGTAGTCGGCAACGAAAGGGCGAATGTAATAGCTTTAAAGGGAAGGGAGCTCGATGTAGTTAACCTGACAAACGCAAAACCATTCGACGCAACAAAAGCTGAATTAAAAATATGGATGAGAGAATCCCATAAGGCCTCTTGGAATAATGAAACGGTGGGTAGAACCACAAAGATTCTATGGGGTGACCCTGATGAGGGCAAGACGAGAAATCTCGTCAAAATGAGCAAGTCTGAGGTTAGTATGATGGTACGTATTCTGAGTGGACACACAGGATTACGTGCACATCTATACAAAATTGGACGTGCGGATTCAGACGAATGTAGAGCATGTGGAGAGGACAGCGAAACTCTGGAGCACTTTCTTTGCTACTGTCAGGCATTCGTCGAAGTTAGATCCAAGTATCTTGGAAGTGATGTTATTCCGGAAATAACATTCTTAGCCAACACTGATTGGAAGATTCATAGGAATTACGTCCAGGAAACTGAATTTCTGAACATGGAAAAATAATACATTCAGTGAACAAGTTTTTTTTTCATGAATTGGAGCGCACAACAGGCCCGATAGTGGCCTAGGTGTATTTCGTCGGATTTGATACATCCTCCTATCAACCTAACCTAAACAAATAATTTCATTTTATTAAGCTAACATTTGAAAAAATGAATTACTTTCGAATAAAATAAAATATGAAATTGGAAGTGGCACCACGATCACACTGAAGGGCCGACAAGTCTAATGAAAAAGTAAAATGAAATTCCATCCGTATGACAAAAAAGAGAATAAAAGTCGTATGATTTATATTTCACTTTTTTTGTATGTGTTAACATAAAAATACATCCCTGATCTAATGCGACTTGCTTGTTTTTTAATCATTTTTTTTATCATTTCATATTAAGGGAAACAAACTGACAGCTGACAAGGCGGGTAGTTTTTTGTATCACTTTTTTGCAATATTATTGACACATTTTATTATTTATTGCGTGGAATCTCGGATTATCTGGGATGACGGAGGAGGGGGCCATGGATGACGGCGCACAGAGGATGAGGCATGATGATTCATCAGGTAACGTTGACGTGACATCTTTTGATGCTGATAACCAGAATAGGTTCTCCAAATTGGGTGATTTGGATTTTATGGAATCGGGCAATGAGGAGAACGTATTCTCCAAACATACCGACAATACCAAAAATCACACCAATGAGGCCACCACAACTGATTGCCCCACAGAGGCCAGGAGAAAGTTTTGCCCACCGATTTTCCTTTTCGACCAGAATATAAAGGCTCTGGCAGCTCAATTAGAGGCAAGGACACCGAAAATTCATTTTAAGATAAAGAATGTGAATCACCGCAAGAGCAAAATGTATTTCTCGGACGCAGCTGTACATTCGAAGATTATGGCAATACTAAGGGAAAAGAAAATCAACTCATATTCCTTTACCCCAAAGGAATTGGAGCAGATATCGCTGGTTCTTCGTGGCCTTGATTTTAGAACGTCAGCTGAGGAAGTTAAAGAAAACCTTGACGGAAGGATTCCTGGGATTGTGGAGAGGATTTCTAAATGCTCTACTCCTCACTCAATGTAGAATCACTATGAGACTGGCTGTTTCTTGTTACTCTTCATCCCGGAAGGAATATTGATGATATTAAGCATATCAAAAGCGTCGCGAGTCAGATCATATCGTGGGAGAAACCTAAGAATAAACTAAAGGAAATCCAATGTCGTAGTTTTTCCTTTTCGACCAGAATATAAAGGCTCTGGCAGCCCAATTAGAGGCAAGGACACCGAAAATTAATTTTAAGATAAAGAATGTGAACCACCGCAAGAGCAAAATTTATTTCTCGGACGCAGCTGTGCATTCGAAGATGATGGCAATACTAAGCGAAATGAAAATCAACTCATATTCCTTTACCCCAAAGGAATTGAAGCAGATATCGCTGGTTCTTCGTGGCCTTGATTTTAGAACGTCAGCTGAGGAAGTTAAAGAAAACCTTGACGGAAGGATTCCTGGGATTGTGGAGAGGATTTCTAAATGCTCTACTCCTCACTCAATGAAGAATCACTATGAGACTGGCCTGTTTCTTGTTACCCTTCATCCCGGAAGGAATATTGATGATATTAAGCATATAAAAAGCGTCTCGAGTCAGATCATATCGTGGGAGAAACCTAAGAATAAACTAAAGGAAATCCAATGTCGTAGTTGCCAGCACTGGGGGCACATCGCGAAGAATTGTAACGCTGCATTTAAATGCGTCAAATGCGATCAAGATCACGAGCCTGGCAACTGCCTGAGAGTAAATCAAGATGGCACTCAACCAGCATGTGTGAATTGTGGTGAAGTTGTCCACCCGGCTAATTGGAGAGGTTGCAGCGCCTATAAGAAATACGTTGAAATGAAACGACAAAGAATGAGAAAATCTCAGGAGGAAAAGGAGATTGCCAAGAACAATGTGAGGAACATGGCAACCTCATTTATTTCTCCGGGTAAATCATTTGCTAACCTCTTTCACAAGGATAAGAACAGGGTGAAAACATCGATCGTCGACGAATTTCTTAAACTAACTAATTACTTTATGGTACCGGAAGAACTTACCATTGAACAAGAAATTGAAAAATTCCTTAAAGAATACCGCTAAGATCGAATTCTTACGTCTTTACAATAAAATCAAAAATGTTCCATAGACATCTTAATTATATGACATTTAATGTACGGTCTCTGATCGACAGAACTCGACAAATTGAACTTTCAAATACTCTAAAATATAATAAAATTGACGTGGCATTTATCCAAGAGTGCCACATCAGGGCAAACAGGCGCATATCTCTAGATGGCTACAATGTTTTCCTAGACAATTCTCCTGTCAGAATGGCAATATTATTGAAAAATAACATTTCATTTGAAAAAGTATTTATTGATATCAACCAATTTCAAACTAATTTTATTCAAATTAAGATTAATAAGAACAGCCGACTCGAGAGAATTCTAATTGGGTCCGTTTACATTCCTACAAATCTATCTCGCGAATCCTTGACTGGCGGACTGAACGTGATTCTGGAGACAGCAAGCCGTTTCGATGGTCTGATTCTCGGGGGTGATTTCAACGCCAAGAACACATCCTGGGGTGATCACTCCGAAAATATGAATGGAAAAACTTTGTACAATTGGCTTCAAGACCACCCGACTTTGTGATATTAGACCGTCCTACCCCAATGGAGACTCGTTTCTGGACCACTTTCTTCTGAGTGCACATTAGGGTGGGTCGAAAAAAAAAGTTGAGTCAGTCACCCCCTACGATTAAAGATATGTTAATAACATTTCAAAAAATATAAAAAATATTTTTTTGCCACGCCTAGAAATACCGCCCTTTTTGTTTTATATATATAACGTCGCCATTTTAAGTCCGATTGTAACATATAATATATCAATATTTATGGCTTGACTGTAGCTATATTTCACCCTCTGACAATTTTTTAATTCGACGTCATATTCTATGCTCGACTTCTGATATCTCGGATCCTTCCCCAAAATCTAAAATTGTGGCTATACTGTAATAAAATACATTTAATTATATGAGCTATTTGCTTCTAAAATGCTCACTTTTATGCATAAACAGCTATTTTACAGGTATTTAAACTACCTGTATAGTTCTAACTACAAACAATTAATTTGCTGGGGATATGGTCGAAAACTATTTTTTCAAATTAATTTACAATACAAAAATTTCATTCTGCCCCCTATCTTAACACAAGAAAGATAATTTTATTCAGCATTTAATTTTATTCATTAATAACAAAATCACGTAGGTACATAAAAACTAAACATTTTATTTTATAAAAATCGCTGAAAAATTAAGGAGTTTATAAAAATATTTCATGTTTTTACCATACAATTACTTGCTCGTTTTTTTTAACAATTTTCAAAAATGTTTATACTAATTTTTATAAAATGTAATAAATTTATTTAAAGATATATTAACTTTTCTTAAATAGTTATATATTTTTAAAGAAGTTCTTGAAATAAAAACTAATAAAAAACAAGTAAGAAAGTATAGTCGGGCATGGCCGACCATATGATACCCTACACCAGTTATGAATATTAAATGTGATTTATTTTTCATAATATCGCATTTATCTTCAATATTCCCTTGTTCCGATACATTTAAGCAATTTATGGATGAAAAACTAATTTTCTGAAAGAGGCTTTATATGGGGGATAGGGGCAAATATGGACCAAGCCCGATAACATTTTGTGAATATATTTATATTTACATAATATTTTATTGTGCTGAATTTCATCGGGATATTTGTGTTTATAAGTTAATTTGGGACATTCAAGTAATTTTCTGAAGGGGACTTTGTATGGGAGCTAGGGTCAAATGGGGCCCGATCTTTATGAAATTTGGCAGGGTTATCGAAACTTCTATAAAACATAGTTGTGCCATATTTTATCGATATATCTGTATATTTAACATAATTATGAGCTCAGAAGCCCTTTTCGGGGGGTTCTGTTCTATGGGGGCTAGGTGAAATAATGGACCGATTTTAACCATTTTCAATAGGCTTCGTCCTTGGGTCAAATAAAACGTGCGTGCCAAATTTCATCCAATTATCTTGAAAATTGCGACCTGTAGCTTGCGCACAAGGTTTACATGGACAGCCAGCCAGCCAGCCAGCCAGCCAGACGGACGGACGGACGGACGGACGGACGGACATAGCTTAATCGACTCAGAAAACGATTCTAAGCCGATTGGTATACTTTAAGGTGGGTCTAGGACGAATATTTTTATATGTTACAAACATCAGCACAAATCCAATATACCCTCCCCACTAAAGTGGTGTAGGGTATAACAAGTAGGAAAGTATAGACGGGCATGGTCGACCATATAATATCCTACACCATGAGTATATTTTTAAAATTTTAAAAATAACTTTGAATTTTACCTTAATTCCAAAGTATTTAAGCAAGTTATTGATAAAAATCAAAATTTTCTAAATGAGGCTTTATATAGGAGTATAGGTCAAATATGGGCCAATCCTTATTAAATTTGGGAAAAGGATATATTTTTAAATAACAGTTAGTTTTGTTTCATTGCGATACAAATGGTTACAAGTCAATTTTAGACGTCTAAGACATTTTTTGAAGAGGGGTTTGTATGGGGGCTAGGGTCAAATAAGGGCCGATCATTACGAAAATCTGCAGTGTCATTTGTACTTATATAAAACTTATTTGTGTTAATTTTTAGAGAGATAACAGTATATTTGACGTAATTATGGCATAAAAAGCCCAAATCGGGAGGTACGGTTGTATGGAGGCTTGGTGAAATAATGGACCGAATTTGGGCTTCGTCCCTGTGCCCAAAAACATGCTTGGGCCAAGTTTCATCAAATTATCTTGAAAATTGCGGCCTGTACCTTGCGCACAAGGTTTAGATGGACAGCCAGCCAGACGGGCGGACAGACATGTCTTAATCGACTCAAAAAATGATTCTGAATCGATCGGTATACTTTAAGGTGAGTGTAGGACCAATATTTTTGTACACCACTATAGTGGTGTAGGGTATAAATATTAGTCGGGAATGATACCAGTTATGAGTATATCTAAAATGTGATTTATTTTTTAATAAAGCCTTTATATAGAAATTTGTCCACTACTTTTTAAGCAATTTATTGATGAAAAACTGATTTTCTGAAAGAGCCTACACCACTATAGTGGTGTAGGGTATAAATATTAGTCGGGAATGATACCAGTTATGAGTATATCTAAAATGTGATTTCTTTTTTAATAAAGCATTTATATAGAAATTTGTCCACTACTTTTTAAGCAATTTATTGATGAAAAACTGATTTTCTGAAAGTGCCTATATATGGGAGCTAGGATCAATTATAGACCGATCCCAACAAAATTTAGTGGAGGGATTTATGTTCATATAGGAGTTAGATATGCAGAATTTTATCATAATGGTAGTGTTTAAGAGGGAAATAACGGCAAGCCACAATTAAAGGCTCCGATTTAATCCATCTTCAAACAACTTCGTCCTTTGGTAAAATGAAATATTTGAGCCTATTTTCATCAAATTATCTGGAAAATTGCGATTTGTAGTTTGACAACAAGGTTTACATGGACTGACAGTAGGACGGACATAGCTAAACCACTATATTGCTGTAGGATATATGTAGTTAACTTTCTTTTATTTTGAAAGGAAGTTAGAAATGAAATGGTTTATAACTGAAAAAATTAAAAGGATTTCTGTTTTATATAGTTCATAAAAAAAATTTTTTTCGACTGTTTTTCCTGGCAAATTAATTGTTGTTGTGAGAACGGTTGATAAATACTTGAACATTTTTAAATATCTATAAAATAGGTGTTTTTGCATAAAAGTGAGCATTTTAAAAGCTAATAGTTCATATAATTCAATGTACTTTATTCCAGTATAGCCACAATTTTAGATTTTGGGGAAGGATCCGAGATATCAGAGGTCACGCATAGAGAATGTCGTCGAATAAAAAAATTTTCTAAGAGTGAAATATAGCTACAGTCAAGCCATAAATATTGATATATGACATGTTACGATCGGACTTAAAATGGCGGCGTAATATATAAAAAACAAAAAGGGCGGTATTTCTAGGCGTGGCAAAAAACATATCTTTAATCCTAGGGGGTGACTGACACAACTTTTTTTTTGTCCATAGAGACCGACCCACTCTAGTGCACATTTTGTTCAAAACTTTAGGATTACTAGTTTCAAAACTTTAGGATTACTAGTTTGTCAACTTTCTTGGACCATTTCCCCTTAAAATTGGAATTGAGATTAGAGAATACGGAGTTTATATTAAATCCTGCACATTTTCATACCTCATATAAAAAGTCGAACTGGAACTGACATAGATATTGCCATGAACTCTATTACACCTCCTGAATACGGAAATCTTAGCAACAATGAAATAGATTTTCTTATAAATGAATTTAACTAAATTCTTAAACAAATATACCATCGAACTGGCAACCGGGCTAGCGTTGAGTATAACATTCTATCAAAACAAATTGGCCTTTTAAGGATAATCCTGAAAGATCTAATTAATATGGACCATGCGCAAATATTCAGCAACAAGTTGGAGAATATAAAGCCCGGCCCATCGGCGTTTAGGGAGATTTATAATATGGTGGGGAAGGGGAAATCTGGCTTCTGCTCGCAAATCATCGTCAATGATACTACCATCTCTAATGATTCTGAGATAAGCGAAGCATTTCGTTCTTATTACTCAGATGTGTACAGTGAAAATTTACCTGTGTGTCCCGTTTCCGACCTCTCTGAGCGAGTTTCATCATACATCGCGGATTGCCCCCGACATATTTATTCGTTTGATATTTCCTTCGGCTCTATTCGAAACGACGACAGTTATCATTTCACATATCCTCCTGAAATTAAACAACAAAAATCTCATGGCGTTGACAATATACCAAACTTTTTAATAAAAAAATTACCAGACTCTTGTCATGTATTTTTAACAATTGTCTGAATAATTGCTACTTTCCTAAAGCGTGGAAAACTTCTTAAATCATTCCAATTGAAAAGAAAAACAACAGCACTCGGATTGATGACTTCAGACCCATCTCATTATTATCGAATGTTGGTAA